CCCCACCACTATAGGCAGAACTATGTACTGTATATCAATTCATACACTGTACATGTACTCACTCAGGAGATGTCAGTATATCGTCAGTAATAAGAGCTACTATATCATGTTCTTCTCCGTGTGATAGTCCGCCATGTTTCTTTAGTCTCTCATCGATCAGTGGATCAACGACTGACTCAATCTGACCATGAACATACTTTACTAGATCATAGCTGCACAAACAGGAAAAATGATTAAATTCATTAAAAATCCAATTTTGATTGGAATCAGCTCAAAATTGCTACATATACACAACACAAGCACATGTATCCATATCAAAAAATGTAATACAAATGGCTAATTTTTTTCCTAGTCATTTTTGATAAAATTTGGCCCATGACCCTGTGCTATAGTACAGGGACTTTGGCCTGATTTTTGAGTAACTTTAAAAATTCAAAAAAATCCATCTTTTATCTGAATCAGTTCAAACTTGCTACACAACATAAAACAAACCACTATACTGAGCTTCAGTGGCAAAAATTCCCTAAGTTAAAATATACTCACACCACAAAAAAATTTGCAAGTAGCCCTAGGCTTTTTAAAAACTACCTGTGGAAATTTTCATCAGTGGTTTCAAGGTTAGCCACAGCATCCTCGAGTGAGAGGACTTTGCTCTGAGAGCCGCTGGGAGGAGAAGTGACTGAAGAAATAAGCTGACGGACTGCTTTCTGCAGATCAACACCAGTCGCCATGTTTGTTTTCGTCCCGCCTTTAGCATACATTCCTGGGAAAATCTAATGCGCATGCGCAATGTAAAAATTAACCTTTTTAGTGTTTGTAATTTTTGCTATTATGAATGACAAAAACAATGTATTTATTTATTATAATTACAGTAATAATAATAATGATAATAATAAAGAAGAGAATAGTTTGATTAGTCCATTACAGCCTGCTGTATGCAACTATAAAATATGACAACAATGATAACAGCAACAATAATAATAATAATAACAATAATAATAATAATAACAGTATTATGATTAAAATTACAAGTAAAAGAGTAATAAAACTGTTTAAAATATTTGTCATAAATAAATATAGTAACAATGTATTAATATTATAATAAATCACACATTCTACTTTACAATTACAAATAATAATTAATTACTTTAACTAATAATATAAATGATACAACTACAGTAACTAAATGTAAAACTACAAATTAAGAGAGATTAAATAACTAATTAATGATTATTATTATTATTATGAATAAGGCTTTAATTAATAAAAAAGTAATTATTATTATTTATTTATTATAATAATTATTCATTATCTCTCTCTCTCCTTTTATCATGTGCTTTGGTGCAGTCTGTTAGTGAGGGTCAGGATTTCTTGTTTCAGCTGTCTCTTTTCAAACTGCTGTCTCTTCTTAGCTCTCTCAAAAGCCTCTACCAAAGCTCTGTTGGCGCTGAGAAGTTCCTTAACAAACTCAACTAACTGATCGCTGATCTCCTGCAACAGAAATAAGAACAACAATATTAATACAGTAATCTCACTTAAAATAGCAATAATAAAAATAGAAAATTTCATACAATTTATAAACTTGAGGATATGCTTCCACAAAATGTGAGACATTCATGTACAAGCAATACAATGTTATATGTGGAGTGACCAGTGTGTGTGTGTGTGTGTGTCTGGAGGTGAGTATCAGTAATGTAATACCTGAGTCCCTTGATATCTGCCCTCAGCTTCACCTCAAGCAGATATCTCAGTCCTCAGGTATTACATTACTTATACACACATTGGCCTATTGTGTATACATTGTACATGTATAATTACTAACTTGTGATTCTTGTATGTGTTTCTGTAAGAAGTGATAGAGTTCCTCCGAGTGTAGCAAGGCTCTCTCTAGGGCTTGCTGTGCTTCACTTGTATTATCAGGAATATTGGAAATATCAGCTTGAGACTGAAGAGAGAGGGAGGGAGAGAGGAAAAGAGAGAGGGAAAGAGAGAGAAAAAGAGAGAGAGAAAAGGAAAGAAGAGGATAGCAAAGAGAAAAGAGAGAGGAGAGAAGGAGGGAGAGTGTGAAATGAATGACATTAAAAATCAATAAAAATCACTCAAAGCAATAAAGAGAGAGACAGGATTCTGGCATTGGATCCCCACCTACAGACTGGACTACATGCGCATTTACTGCTACACATACTAGAGCCAATCAAACCATAATATACTTCCCTTGTTATGTCTGTCTGTAACAATGTCTCTTTGGGAAACCAATCATGTGAAAAAGCATAATATGCCAGCAGTAGCTAACAACATCACACAAGATTACAACCTCAAGACCATTCAACCTCTCATTCCAATTACATACTCACCAAACCACTAGTCATGCAATACTTGTAGTAAAGCCCTCAGACAAGAGAGAGCCTCAGGCTAAAATGTGCCTTTATACATGTACATGTACTGAAAATGTATCTACATGTACATGTA